CGCCCGCTCCGTTCAGGCTGAACGTTGCACCCGCGCTGCTTGCTTATTAAAAACATCTCGCAGCACAAAAGCGGGTGCTGGGAGGCTCCTCGTCCCCCTCTCTGGACCCTCCCCGCTGCAAAGGAGACCTCTCCGGCGGGCGGGCCTCGCTCCCCTGCCGTGGTGGTCCTCTGCTAGCAATCACCAGGCGGAAAGCGAGGCTCGCGGTGGTGGCGCTTCTGGAGCTTCCCGTCCGCGATGTCGCGTTTGTTTGTCTCCAGACTTCTTTTTTCCCTGGTATTGGGCTTGAGATTTGCCCAGATGGGCAGAGGTTCTCCCCTTCACCCATGTTCACTGCTACATAGTATTCTGTTGAGTCAACACAGTAGCCTTGTTCGTCTCTTCATGGGTCTCTTGGTGAGAACATTGATATGATTTCAGTATGTTTCAGATATTATATATTGGCTTGTGTTTCTCTTCCAACTGATGCACATTGTTGGAAGAGCACCTGGGTGGTCGCCCGCCATCAGCCTCACTAGATGATGGCTGGCTTGTTCACCAAGGTAGCTGTCAGGTGGCACCCCACAGCAGTGTGACAGTGGCAGGATTTTAACTTGTGCCAGTCTGGTGTGCCACCTTTTCACCTTCTCCTGACTATAAGAGTTGGTAGGGGGTGCTGAGGGGGCATTAGGATTCTTTATCTATCCCTATACAGGGAATCTCTTCTTCCCGCTGCGGCTAAAGGGAGGTGATGAGTTTAGGTGGGCCCCACTAAGTGCAAGGGCTGGCCGTGCACTCGGTGTAGGGTCCAGGACAGTGCTGCAGCTATTCTGACATTTTTTGAGTCAGGGTCTCACTCTGGTGCCCAGGCTGGAGTGCAGTGGCACAATCATGGCTCACCGCAGACTCGACCTCCTGGGCTCAGGCAGTCCTCCTGCCTCAGCCTCCCTAGTAGCTGGGACTACTGGTGTGCGCCACCACAGGGGGCTAATTTATTTTTAAACTTTTATAGAGATGAGGCCTCTGGCCAGGCATGGTGGCTGAAGCTTGTAATTCCGGTAGTTTGGGAGGTCAAGGTGAGAGGATTGCCTAAACTCAGGGGTTTGAGACCTCGTCTCCACCATAAATCAAAAAATAAAGGCCAGGTGCGGTGGCTCAAGCCTGTAATCCCAGCACTTTAGGAGGCTGAGGTGAGGGGATTGCCTGAGCCCAGGGGTTCGTGACCAGCCTGGGCAACTTGGCGAGACTTCTTCTCTACAGTAAATCAAAAATTTGCCAGGTGTGGTATTGCACACCTGTAGTTCCGGCTACTTGGAAGGGTGAGGCGGAAGGATCGCCTGAGCCCAGCACGTCAAGGCCACGGTGGCTGTGAGGGTTCCAATGCACTCCAGCCTGGGCCACAGAGTGAGATTCTGACTCAAAAAAAGGGGTGGGGGAGACCAGGCATGGTGGCTCAAGCCTGTAGTCCCTGTAATCCCAGCACTGTGGGAGGCTGAGGCAAGAGGATTTTCTGAGCCCAGGGGTTCGAGACCAGCCTGGCCAAATCAAAAATTAGTTGGACGTGGTGGTGTGCACCTGTAGTTCCAGCTACTTGAAAGGCTGAGTCTGAAGGATCACCTAAGCCCAGCAGGTCGAGGCTGCGGTGACCGTGAGCATGCCACTGCACTTCAGCCTGGGCGACAGAGTGAGACTCTGACTCAA